AAGCAACGTTAGGCAGTAGGCTGCCCTTAAACCCCCCCCGGCGCCCTGAGCTCCCCTTAAACCCTTCATGGCGCCATTGGCAGCCAAGCAGCATGTCCTTTGGCCACCTGCCGGGCGCTTTCCTGGCGATTTTCTTCTGGTTTCAGAGAGCAACGTTAGGCAGTAGGCTGCCCTTAAACCCGCCCCGGCGCCCTGAGCTGCCTTTAAACATTTCCTGGCGCCTTTGGCGGCCTAGCAGCATGTCCTTTGGCCACCTGCCGGGCGCTTTCCTGGAGATTTTCTTCTGGTTCAGAAAGCAACGTTAGGCAGTAGGCGCCCTTAAACCCTCCCCGGCGCCCTGAACTGCCTTTAAACCCTTCATGGCGCCCTTGGCGGCCTAACAGCATGTCCTTTGGGCACCTGCCGGGCGCTTTCCTGGAGATTTTCTTCTGGTTTCAGAAAGCAACGTTAGGCAGTAGGCTGCCCTTAAAACCCCCCGGCGCCCTGAGCTGCCCTTAAACCCTTCATGGCGCCCTTGGCGGCCTAGCAGCATGTCCTTTGGCCACCTGCCGGGCGCTTTCCTGGAGATTTTCTTCTGGTTTCAGAAAGCAACTTTAGGCAGTAGGCTGGCCTTAAACCCCCCCCGGCGCCCTCAGCTGCCCTTAAACTCTTTATGGCGCCTTTGGCGGCCTAGCAGCATGTCCTTTGGGCACCTGCCGGGCGCTTTCCTGGAGATTTTCTTCTGGTTTCAGAAAGCAACGTTAGGCAGTAGGCTGGCCTTAAACCCCCTCGCCGGCGCCCTGAGCTGCCCTTAAACCCTTCATGGCGCCCTTGGCGGCCTAGCAGCATGTCCTTTGGCCCACCTGCCGGGCGCTTTCCTCGTATTTTTCTTCTTTTCTTCTGGTTCAGAAAGCAACGTTAGGCAGTAAGGCTGCCCTTAACCCCCCCCGGCTCCCTGAGCTGCCTCTAAAACCCTTCATGGCGCCCTTGGCGGTCCTATCAGCATGTCCTTTTGGCCACCTGCCGGGCGCTTTCTTCCTGGAAGATTTTCTTCTTCTGTTTCAGAAAGCAACGTTAGGCAGTAGCTGCCTTAAACCCCCTGAGCTGCCTCTAACCCTCTCATGCGCCCTTGGCGCCCTAGCAGCATGTCCTTTGGCCACCTGCCGGGCGCTTTCCTGGAGATTTTCTTCTGGTTTCAGAAAGCAACGTTAGGCAGTAGGCTGCCCTTAAACACCCCCCGACGCTCTGAGCTGCCTTTAAACCCTTCATGGCGCCCTTGGCAGCCAAGCAGCATGTCCTTTGGCCACCTGCCGGGCGCTTTCCTGGCGATTTTCTTCTGGTTTCAGAAAGCAACGTTAGGCAGTAGGCTGCCCTTAAACCCCCCCCGGCGCCCTGAGCTGCCTCTAAACCCTTCATGGCGCCCTGGGCGGCCTAGCAGCATGTCCTTTGGCCACCTGCCGGGCGCTTTCCTGGAGATTTTCTTCTGGTTTCAGAAAGCAACGTTAGGCAGTAGGCTGCCCTTAAACCCCCCCCCGGCGCCCTGAGCTGCCTTTAAACCCTTCATGGCGCCCTTCACAGCCAAGCAGCATGTCCTCGGGCCACCTGCCGGGCGCTTTCCTGGCGATTTTAACGCTTTTCTGGAAATTTTCTTCTGGTTTCAGAAAGCAACGTTAGGCAGTAGGCTGGCCTTAAACCCTCCCCGGCGCCCTGAGCTGCCCTTAAACTCTTGATGGCGCCTTTGGCGGCCTAGCAGCATGTCCTTTGGGCACCTGCCGGGCGCTTTCCTGGAGATTTTCTTCCGGTTTCAGAAAGCAACGTTAGGCAGTAGGCTGCCCTTAAACCCCCCCGGCGCCCTGAGCTGCCTCTAAACCCTTCATGGCGCCCTTGGCGGCCTAGCAGCATGTCCTTTGGCCACCTGCCGGGCGCTTTCCTGGAGATTTTCTTCTGGTTTCAGAAAGCAACGTTAGGCAATAGCTGCCCTTAAACCCCCCCCGGCGCCCTCAGCTGCCTCTAAACCCTTCATGGCGCCCTTGGCGGCCAAGCGGCATGTCCTTTGGCCACCTGCCGGGCGCTTTCCTGGAGATTTTCTTCTGGTTTCAGAAAGCAACGTTAGGCAGTAGGCTGCCCTTAAACCCCCCCCGGCGCCCTGAGCTGCCTTTAAACCCTTCATGGCGCCCTTGGCAGCCAAGCAGCATGTCCTTTGGCCACCTGCCGGGCGCTTTCCTGGCAATTTTCGCGCTTTTCTGGAAATTTTCTTCTGGTTTCAGAAAGCAACGTTAGGCAGTAGGTTGGCTTTAAACCCTCCCCGGCGCCCTGAGCTGCCCTTAAACTCTTTATGGCGCCTTTGGCGGCCTAGCAGCATGTCCTTTGGGCACCTGCCGGGCGCTTTCCTGGAGATTTTCTTCTGGTTTCAGAAAGCACCGTTAGGCAGTAGGCTGCCCTTAAACCCCCCCCCCGGCGCCCTGAGCTGCCTCTAAACCCTTCATGGCGCCCTTGGCAGCCAAGCAGAATGTCCTTTGGCCACCTGCCGGGCGCTTTCCTGGCGATTTTCGCGCTTTTCTGGAGGTTTTCTTCTGGTTTCAGAAAGCAACGTTAGGCAGTAGGCTGGCCTTAAACCCTCCCCGGCGCCCTGAGCTGCCCTTAAACTCTTTATGGCGCCTTTGGCGGCCTAGCATGTCCTTTGGCCACCTGCCGGGCGCTTTCCTGGAGATTTTCTTCTGGTTTCAGAAAGCAACGTTAGGCAGTAGGCTGGCCTTAAACCCTCCCCGGCGCCCTGGGCTGCCCTTAAACCCTTCATGGCGCCCTTGGCAGCCTAGCAGCATGTCCTTTGGCCACCTGCCGGGCGCTTTCCTGGCGATTTTCTTCTGGTTTCAGAAAGCAACGTTAGGCAGTAGGCTGCCCTTAAACCCCCCCCCGGCGCCCTGAGCTGTTGTTTGTTGTTTGTTGTTTGTTGTTTGTTGTTTGTTGTTTGTTCTTCTTGTTCTTTGTTGTTTGTTCTTTGTTCTTTGTTGTTTCTTCTTTGTTGTTTCTTCTTTGTTGTTTCTTCTTTGTTGTTTCTTCTTGTTCTTTCTTCTTGTTCTTCTTGTTCTTCTTGTTCTTCTTGTCCTTCTTGTTCTTCTTGTTCTTCTTGTTCTTCTTGTTCTTCTTGTTCTTCTTGTTCTTCTTGTTCTTCTTGTTCTTCTTGTTCTTCTTGTTCTTCTTGTGCTTCTTGTTCTTCTTGTTCTTCTTGTTCTTCTTGTTCTTCTTGTTCTTCTTGTTCTTCTTGTTCTTCTTGTTCTTCTTGTTCTTCTTGTTCTTCTTGTTCGTCTTGTTCGTCTTGTTCGTCTTGTTCGTCTTGTTCTTCTTGTTCTTCTTGTTCTTCTTGTTCTTCTTGTTCTTCTCGTTCTTCTTGTTCTTCTTGTTCTTCTTGTTCTTCTTGTTCTTCTTGTTCTTCTTGTTCTTCTTGTTCTTCTTGTTCTTCTTGTTCTTCTTGTTCTTCTTGTTCGTCTTGTTCGTCTTGTTCGTCTTGTTCGTCTTGTTCGTCTTGTTCGTCTTGTTCGTCTTGTTCGTCTTGTTCGTCTTGTTCGTCTTGTTCGTCGTCTTGTTCGTCTTGTTCGTCTTGTTCGTCTTGTTCGTCTTGTTCGTCTTGTCCTTCTTGTCCTTCTTGTCCTTCTTGTCCTTCTTGTCCTTCTTGTCCTTCTTGTCTTCTTGTCCTTCTTGTCTTCTTCTTGTCCTTCTTGTTCTTCTTGTTCTTTTCTTTGTTTCTTCTTGTTCTTCTTGTTCTTCTTGTTCTTCTTGTTCTTCTTGTTCTTCTTGTTCTTCTTGTTCTTGTTGTAGTTTTGGATTCGGTTTTCGTTTTGGTTTATGGTTGTTGTTGTTGTTGTTGTTCTTGTTCTTGTTCTTGTTGTTGTTGTTGTTGTTGTTGGTGGTGGTGGTGTTGTTGTTGTTGTTGTTGTTGGTGTTGGTGTTGGTGTTGGTGTTGTTGTTGTTGTTGTTGTTGTTGTTGTTCTTGTTCTTGTTGTTGTTCTTCTTGTTGTTGTTCTTGTTGTTGTTCTTGTTCTTGTTGTTGTTCTTCTTGTTGTTGTTCTTGTTGTTGTTCTTGTTGTTGTTGCTGCTGCTGCTGCTGTTGTTGTTCTCCTCCTCCCTTTCCAACCCTGCGACCTCCAAAGCTGATCTGCTGATCCCCCGGAACGCACCAGTGCCCAGGGTCTCCGTACCCCCGAAGGCCAAGGCCCCAGAAAGCACATGCAGATCCGCTTCGGACATCGCTGGGTCAGAAGAGAAATACACACATACATTTCCAACACAAGAACAGGTCACCACTAAACCTTTGTTCTTACGTTCCAGGCCCCTAGGCCAGGGGTCGGCGGCAGGGGGCGTAGCCCCTTTAATATGTGTAAAAATGGCCATGATCATTGGTATGTTTCATATATATGGCAGTGTGTCAAAACCTTGTACCCCTGGTGAACATCAAAATAGTTGGTAAATGGATGTTCATCCCACTAAAAATGGTATTAATAGGTATTGATCCATAGCCATATATATATATATACGTATATAAATGGTATAGGCCATAGGCACACTACCAATATTGAAGTGCTACGAGTATTGGAAGGTTATATCAGTGGTATAATAATTAGTAGATTTCGTGCCTACATAGACCATCCCTAAACTTGGCCATGGCACATATGCCACTTTGAGATCCTCACAGCAGCTGCTAGGGTGTCGCACACAAGGTTGGGCCTATCTTGGTATTCTATGCATTTTCCCATGGCCCAGGGCCGTAGGGAGGTTCTCCCAAAATGGGGAATCTCCCAGGGATCTCAGGCACTGATCATGATGTCTTTTTAGGTGAGTAGCACCCCAAACTTAGCAACAAACAACTCGGTTTTTGACACCACTAGATAGCTAGGTTGCTGCAAACAACTCCAATAATTAGGACATCATATATATATATATATAGATAGATACATCCACCTACATTTCATGGAAATTATAAGCCAACTAACAGTAACTAACGATTTCACGGTAGGGGCAGCTTGCTATACCCAACTCCCCAGCACCGCCTCTGCCCGTTGGAACTGCTTGGCCAACATGGCCATTTTGGCCTCGCGTCGGTCTGATGGGTATATACATGGTTTATAGATATGGTGGATATGGTAGTAAGTATAGATATATCTACCATATCTACCATATTGGAGTTACTTGCACCAACTTAGCTAACGAACTGGGGCACCCCTTGTACCCTCTGATCATCTGCAGCGAACCGGAAAACCACGATGAAAGAAAAAAAAATGGTGAAGTCATCCACATTCACGGGCAGTAAATTCCAGTTCATCCCTGGGTCCTCTGCTCCTCATCAAATGACAACACTTCCCCCAAAAAACTGGGTCCATGTTGGACCCCAAACCGATTCAATTCAAGGTATTCCACTTCGATTTCTCCCCGATTTTCCCAGTTCCATTCCAGAAAATGGATGAAAATGGGATCTTAGCTGTCTACATCCTAAAAATATCCCATGAATAATATGAATGTTCCATGAATATTCCATGATATCCTCAGCATGTCTCCATGATACAAACTGAACCACCATTTTTTGCCACAACTTGGCCCAACTTGGCGCGTTCAGCTGCGAAGCTGCGCCAGTTTCGCACCTGCGCCATGTAGTAACTGGATCCATCACCGCCCACTTCTTCAGCATGATCTTGGATGAGGCGATTCACCTGCGGCAAAATTGTGGTGTGGCCGCGATGAAATTGAAGATATTGGGATGTGGTGGATGTGGTGGATGTGTTGGATATATATATATATATATATATCTGAAACTGGCACAGATTCGAGGAAATAACATGTGTTTCCTCGAAAATGAAAACAGAAGCAAATCTGACTTTGGTCGTAGCCCAACCAGAAAACTGCTTCATTGTACGTCGATCGCACACCACATTTTCCACTGTTTCGTTGCCAGGGTAACCCAAACACACCCTTGTAGGAGCTTTTAAGTGGCTTCCAAAGACATGCCAAAACATGTTCCAACACCTTTTCAGCCTGTTTTTGGATGTACCAAATTTGAAACCCATCGTTTCTTGTCCCTACAAGTATGTATGTGTTTCCAATGTTCGACCGTGTTTGTCCATTTGTTCATTTGGTCCATGTTTATTGGTTTATCCTATTTCTATCCACGTGGGCAAAATCTTGAGAACTTTCCAAAGCCCACCATGTCTTTATCCATGTTAATTATACACATCACATCACATCATATCACTTTATCTATCTGTCTGTCCAAACCATGTCTGGTTGGTGGCTTCAACCCCTCTGAAAAATTTTAGTCAGTTGGCATGATGACATTCCCAATCTATGAAAAGTCATAAAAGCCATGTTCCAAACCACCAACCAGATCACCATCATGTTCCCATTGTTGTTGGTTTACAGCCTATTAACCACTATTAATCACTATATCCATGTGGAAAATCCCACGTTGTGCACCATGGTGGGGCTCGTCTTAGCGGAGACGACGAGCTTGCCGCCTTGTGCAGGTATCGGCTCTTGGCCACGTCGCCCAGCACAGCATAGCAGCGCTCGGCCACCGGCAGATTGAAGTGCTCCTGCGTCGTTTCGTTTTACGTGGCCAAGCTCCGGGATGTCGTCCAACTCTTGAGGGGAAAAGATGGGGAAAGTCTGGAAAAATACCTGATAAATAAGGAGGTTTTGATGTGAATTTCCATGTTTTCATTCAGTTTTTAAAGGGGGAAGTCCCCGAACTAGCCATGGATGAACAAATGGGGGGATTTTCCAGCAAACCATGTTTGATTAACAGGTGTGATTACCAGGGGTTTCCACACCTGGAAGTGAATGACTTGTACCCATACACCAAAATGTTAAAAAAGCATGTCTAGCTCCCCCAAAACGGCAAGTTTTGAGACAATTCTCTTGGCAAACCATAATTTTCCAGTGGTTGAATTCGCCATTTTTTGCATTGTGGTCGGTCCTTTTTTCTTGGGGGATGGTTGCCCTTATTGAGTCCTTCATTGGGTGATCCTCCAAGTTTCATGGCAGCAAACACCCCCCGGCTCCATGGAGGCATCTGCCAGTGAACGCCACATGGCCTCTGTCTCGGGCGTCAGTGGAAGTTCCTCGACGTGGCTGCTGGGGATGGTGGTGGATAGATGGTTTGTTTTGTGAAAAATCCTAGCTATAAATGGATGATAGGGGTACCCTCATTTTAGGAAGCCTCCATATTATTTATTGTTATTATCAGTATTGTGACTACTATGATTGTTATCATCATGTATCACTATCATAAGCACTAGTACTAGTACTAGTACTAGTACTAGTATTAGTACTAGTAGTAGTAGTAGTAGTAGTAGTAGTAGTAGTAGTAGTAGTAGGAGTAGGAGTAGGAGTAGGAGTAGGAGTAGCAGCAGCAGCAGCAGCAGTAGTAGTAGTAGTACCATCATGTATAATTATCAATGTCGATATCATGATTACTGGGCCTACTGCTATTCTTGATACTGTTCTTGTTGTTGTTCTCGTTGTTTCTGTCGGCGTTTGTTGCGATGCTGTTCTTCTTCTTCTTCTTCTTCTTCTTCTTCTCTTCTTCTTCTCTTCTTTGTGTTGCTTTTGTTGTTGTGCATATTCAGAACCATATTCAGAACCATACTCATAATATGTATATATAATATATATATGTATGTTTATATATGTTTATATATATATATTTATATCCATCCTCCACACCAGCTCCGCCCCTGGGCTTCACCTCCACCCATGTCCGGTCCCGGAGTCCCGTCCTCCAAGAGGTCCACCGCCTTGGCGTATTGGCCTCGTTCCAGGCAGGAGCCGAAGGAGATCAGACCCTCGTCCAACTCGTACTCCACCTGAGTCTCTCAAGAAATCTCAGGAAATCTCGGGAAATCTCGGGAAATCTCGGGAAATCTCGGGAAATCTCGGGAAATCTCAGGAAATCTCAGGAAATCTCAGGAAATCTCGGGAAATATCAATGAATATCAATGAATATCAGATGAGGAAGGGAAATGTCAGCCATTTTGGCTCAAGCCTCGAGATGGTTTAGGCCGGCGCTCAAGGGCCTTTTTCCGCCCGCACAAGCATTCGGGCTGTTTTGAGTCTTGAGAAAAGAGCCATGCGCGTTGCAGTGCTCGTTCATTCATTCATTTTGCCATGGATTGAAAAGTGAGTTTATCAGTCGAGATACCCTCTGGTTATTTAACATAGCCATGGAAAGATCCACCATTTTCAAGTTCGGTAAACCATCTATTTCGACTAGGGCCATCTATACCATGGTGAACTGTGAATGTCATAACCAGTTTGGGTAAGTCAACTGGGGGTTATCCCGTTACTGAGTAAACCCCACTGACCAAATCCCTAGACTGCTTGGTTGATCACTCAGGTTTCGGTCAAGATGATCATCCCGTTTCGGGGTGTCCACCCACCAGCTTGCTGGTCGTATCCCGGGATGCCAAAACTGTGGGAGTTGTTCCAACCCATCCGCGACGGCCTCCAAACTTGATAGTTTAGCACAAACTGGATAGTTTGGTATAGTTTGGTATATACTAAAACTAAGATAGACGTGGAAAATTGCCCTGTTGTAGATGATTTACCTATAGAAAAAGGCTCACAGGAGGGCAAAGAAGGCGCCAAAACTGCTTTGTGGGTGATCGCCATGATTTTGGAGGATGGGACCCTAAATCCTCAGCATCATTTCCTGGTTGGTGGTTTCAACCTACCATTGTGGTTAATATACTGTTAATACATGGTTAATATATATGGTTATGATGATGGTTAATGATGGTTAATAATCATCTGGTTGGTGGTTTCAACCCCATTTTCCATTTCCATTTGCTCTGCTGCACCGTCTTGGTGCTTGGGTTGGTCGATGCACGATGTCGCTGGGTGAAACTCAGCTGCCCCCATGATAGTCCGGTTGTACGATCTCGGGGGCATGGCACGACTGCTCCAGATAAGGAGTGAACTCCGCCGGCAAGTCAGTGGCGATGTTGAGGTGTTGCCACTGTGTTGCTGCGTCGAAGAGTGCTTCACCCAGAATCTTGTTGAGGCCGTAGGGGTATACCTTGGCTTTGGCCGTGTGGAACGTGCCATCTTCCTGGCGGCCTATCAGCGCCACATGTGTTCCAGGTGGGTGATTGCATCGCCCACAGCGGCCACGTCCCAAGAGCCGGTCCCGCACCTTCGGCAGTCTCAGCAGAAGTAGAGTGGTCGGTTTTTTCCCCAGGGCGCCCACTGTGCATTGATCGAAGCTCACCACACTGAAGCATCCCAGGTTCTTCAGGATGATGAGGGCTTCGGTGGCCCAAATGCTCGCCGGGGAGCCTCTGGTGCACCACGTTGGAAATTGCGGATGTTCCAAAAAGCCGCTCATTCCCATGAGAGCAAGGGCCACGAGTACATCGAGCAGGAAGCGGAGGAGCCGGTCACTGATACGTAGCTGTGCCCACTCTTTGAGCGTGAGTCCCGGAAGACCAAGGGGATGGGCTGCGTCCCTCAACGGTCTGGGGCCTCCTTCATACTGTCGTGCCACAGTGAACGTTTCACATGGTGGGCCTCCTCCAGCCGCCACCACTTGTCCAGCAAGGACTCGCTCTCGCCACCATCGTGAGGCCTGGGGCGTGGCTAGGTCGCCATTGACCCGCTGCATGCATAGATCTACCGAGATGGTAAAGACCTGTGCTCCGGTCTCCATGGTGCGGTGGTCGAGGATGTGATGGATATCACCCATCCTGCGGAATCCGCTGAAGAAGTGCACCACAACAAGTGCTCGGACGTGGAGCATGGCGGTCTCTCTGGCAAGGCCTTGCATTGTAAACGCACCGCCGGCACAGTCTCTGCCGCTGACCGACTGCATGATGAAGGCCGGGAGGTCGGCACGTGTCCACCAAAGCTGTGGGTCAGTTGGTGGAAGCTTTGTGATGCGTGTGCCTTGCAGCTGCGTATAGGCCAGTTCGTCGCTCGGACGTCTCTGCATCATCTTGCTATACATGGCTTGGGCGTCCGCAGACCCCGCAGGTGGTAGCGTAGGACCCTGGGTCTGCTGTACCGGTTGGAAAGCTTTTGCGGCCCACCACCCTTGTTTGCGCAACAGCGCTTCGTCTGCTTTGTCGGTTATGTCAAGGCTTTGCACCAGGTCGGTGGGAAAAGGCGGCCAACAGGCAGTGACTATGTCATAGCACTTGTGCTGCTTTTCATAGTGCACCGACAGCCTTTTTCTTGTGTGAAAATTTTGCCCACATGCTTGGCATGTGTCTCCAATTGCAAAGTACCTGACTTTTTTCCTGTAGCCATGGCCTCGGGCCGCATGCATGGCTAGTGCTCTGGTGGAGGTGAACACTTTTTGGCACAGGTCGCATTGCCAACGCTCTGGAGCTGGCGTCGGCTTGTTTTTGTCGGGCAGGGTGGCTCCTGCGGTGGCTAACCGGCTGTCAAAGTGCCGTTGCCAAATGGCATGGTCAGCTCTGGCCCGATGGTACGACAAGGCGAGCTTGCATGTTTTTCGGACCCTGCCTTTCCAGTTGGGGTCCAGTCGCACAAACTGCACCCAGTCCTGGAAGAGCGATGAGGTGCTCAGGGGAAGCTTGCTGTCATAGTGATAAAGCAGCCATTGGCACGAGTCCATGCATTGTGCCATCCAGGAGTGATGTCCTGTGGTGTGGTGCATCAGCGCCCAGGTGATGGGGGGACAGGCATTAAGCAGCCGTGCAAGGAACCTAAGCCTGTTGGCGTGAACTTGGTCCATGAGCGGGAGGATACCTGCGCAGGCCATCATTTCATCAGTGGAATGCATGAATCTGGTGGGCGCCATCAGCAGCCCCTTAAGCAGGGTGCCAGCGGGGGCTTTGAGGTGGTTAGTCCAGGTTTGCATGTGCTTGGGCGTGACGGATGTCCACGTGTGCACATTGTAAAGCATCTTGGAGAGCACCAAGGATTGGAAAATGGCGCTCTTGACCGGCAGGGTGATACACTTTTTGGTGAAAAAGGGTCTGGCCAGCTGTCCATACTGTTGCTTGGCTGCCGAGCTCCTGGCCAGGATTTCCCTGGTATGCTTGTGGTGTGCTTGGAGCCATGTTCCCAAATGCTTATAGGTGTGGCACAGTGGTATCGTATACTGAATGCCTTCGTGTGCCCACTGCAGGGTTTGACCGGCTTCATGGAGAGTCTGTTTCATCTGCCTGGCCCCTTTACCAAGAATGGTCCAGAGTGCCTCCGTCTTGCCACGTTCATAGTTGATGCTGAGCCCTCGTGTTGCGGCAGCTTTGTCCATGGCTTGAACGACGGCTTTCATGGTGTTGGCAACACTGTCGTTGGACCGTCCATGGATGAGGACCACGCAGTCATCCACGAAGGTAACATCAATGAATCCTGTGGGCGGTATGCTGGGGATGTCACTCAAGTCCGAGACTGGACTGGCTTGGCCTAACCACGGGACATCATTGCTGTGCTCCATGGTGGCACGGAAATCGGTCAGGATGAGGTGCATACAGAGGTTAAACAACACGTCTGCGATCGGATCACCTGGCCTGGTGCCTCGAGTGGTTTGGCATGGTTCAGTGAGGCCTTGCACTGTAAAGTAGGTATTGTGCAACAGGTCATGCAGGATGTGTTGCATGTGGCGTGGGAGCCCTTTGACAGCATCATCGGTTGCCGCATTGGTGATCAATTTGTGAACTTCGGCAGGGGACAGCCCGACTTGATACATTGCTGCCATGAATGCATCATCATGGGAGGGAATCTGAGTGAAGGCCTGTCTCAACACCATGTAAAATGCCGATTTAAGGTCAAAGAAGAGTGCAGCGGAAGGCACTGCTTTCTCTTTGCACCATGATTGGTGGCATTGTACAATATGGTGAGCCACGTCGGCACCTATGCCTTTCCTGCCTCCGCATTGGAGGTGTGTCAGCGTTTGCTCCCAGGCATCTACCAAATGGGCACGGAAACACTGGTGATAAAGTTTGGTAGTGTAATTCGAGATAAAGATGCTTCGATATCCCTCTGCCAGGTGAGGCGCCAGTTTTCCCTTCCAAAGTGGGATCAGGATCCCCCCTTTCCAATGTAGGGGTTCCTGAGCGCCTGCAGCAGCTTTGGTGAACATGACTGAAAGCTGTTTAGCCACTACACTACCCCCGGCCTTAAGCAACGCAGGTGGCACAAGGTTGGGACCCGGGACTTTGTCCCTGTGCAATTTTGCAATGAGCATGCGGATGCGCCATGGGCCTGGGAAGGCTGCTGGTTCAAGGTCATTGCAGGGCTGGGAGGGGTGCAAGGCAGCATGCTGCTGCTCAAGCTCGTCCCAAGTACGGGGGACACCAGCCTCAATGCTTGCAAACTGATGCATCCATGTGCGCTGCTGATCAAGGTAGGAGCTGGCAGTGGTACCATCAGGTTTCTGGATCATGGGTAAGGGCCGAGGCCCGTTGGCTCCTGCACCTTTCTTGCGGCCCAACCTATGGAGGAGTCGAAAGACCAAGCGGTGGTTGGAGATTTCTCCAGAGGCCTGAATCTGCTTCAGCAAGTCATTGTAGAAACCTTGGATATCATCACGCACTAAACGAGCGACAGTCTTTTCGATGCTGCGCAGTTCCACCTTGAAGTCTTCAAGGTGCATACTGTTGGTTTGACGGCCGATATCCAGCACATGCCTTTTGAATGCAATGGCTTCCAATGTCTGGGAGCTGAGGGTGATAGGGCGTTCTTTGCGGGGTTTGCGTGCAAAGAACTGGCGGCCGAGGGCCAGCAACTGCTGCTCATACAGGGCAGCGTGGTCGTCTATCCCAATGTCCCATGCCGGCAGTGGGAGTGTGCGCAGCGCTCGCTGGAATGCATCAACCTGGGCTGGGTCCAGCATGGCTCGATCGTCCCATCCAATGGTTGGGTGGGTACTGGACGTGGGTAACCATCCGGCACACTGCAGGACGACCGGCAGGTGGTCTTCGTGCGCAAATGTGCTATCATGGTGTACTTCCACCCAGCTTTTGCTAGCCAACTTGGCTACGTCCTGGGAGAGGAGGATGTAGTCCTTGCGGCTCTTCTTTCCTGTGCTGTGCGTCCATGTTGTGGTGGGGCCTTCATGGATTGAGGCAAAGGTGGAAGGCACCATCAGTTGCTGCAGTTGGATGAAGCTCTCAAACCGTGCGCTTGCATGATTGGCTGGTTCAGCCCCATGAGGTCCAATAAGCAAGCCATCCCCATCATCAAGGGGAGCATTGGCATCAATGAAAACCCATTGGGCTCCAGCAGTCACATATTTGGCATAAAGGGCTGCTGTTTCATCCCACCACTGCGTGGCTGCTTCGATGGGGTCCGGAACGTCGTGTGCTGCTGTGGCAAGGCTCGGGGCATGCAGGACAATGAACGCATAAACATATTGGCCGATCTTCGCTTCTACCAGCAGGCGGCGTGGATCTGCGTGCTGGACAGTAAGGATCGCTTTGCCGAGTACAATGGGTTTCCCTTGAGGGTCTGTTGCTATCGGCAAAGTTTTGTGGATCCACAATTCGCACCCATAGAGTGGGGCCCTCTTGCACTTGGCACCTGAGGCCAGGATATGATAATGAGGTGCATTGTAGCGTCCTTGTGGCGTTCGGGCCTCTTGAACGCCGATGACATGAATGTTGGCTTGGTGCCATTGCTGGTCAAGACGCACCGTCCTTTGCCCGGTACGTTTGGTGCCTGCAGTGTGTGTGGCCCAGACCTCTGCTGCTAGAACGTTGGTTGTACAAACCTTAATGCCCCATTTCAGTCCGGCTTCTTGATGGTCGCTGTTTTGGCGTTCAGTGGGCAAGATGCCGAGCTTAGTGGTAGGCTGCGTGAAGTGCATAACCTGCTGTTGACTGAGCGGTGGGAAACAGGTTGCAATTGCAGGATGCGTGGTTTGCATCCACACCCAATCCACGTCGTGTGGGTTGGTGGCAAGTTGGTGCAGTTGCACAAATTGCCCTGTCATTGGGTCAGTGTGTTGCTGCATTGCCCACTTTGCAACGGCATCTGCTAGTTCGTTCCAGGCATGCCCTTGATGGCCTCTGACTTCATGGATGGTCGCTTTGGGGCCTAGCCAAAGACCCAAAGCTCCACATAGCTTAGCAAGGGGCTGGTTGGACTTGCATGTGGTTGAGGCTGTGGCTACGGTGTGGCTGAGCGAAAGGTCAGGTCGGATACAAAATTGGTTGTTGCCGGACCATCGCATTGCGAGGTTTTGAGCAGCAACCATGGCCGACAGCTCGGCAGAGATGTTGTCCGCTGTGGTTGCCCCTAGCCAGTCAGGGTGCTGGGGGCTGAGCTGTACAGTACCATAAATGCATCCAAGGAAAGCCTCTTGCTGGTGGCTGCTCGCAATCACAATGACACTCCATCCTGCTTCCTGGCCATTGGCCGCTCCATCCAGATAGAGTGTGTATGTCATGTCGGCTGCATCTGGCAATGGTGGCGGTTGGAGCAATGGCCAGTAGGATTGCTCAGGAACTACAAGCCCATCAGGCAGGGGAAGAAGCGTCAATGGCAGTTCAGCTTCAAGGGCAAGTTTCCAGGCTTCATTGGCAAACCAAAGCAATTGCGGCCTGTCATCATCGAGACTGACCTGCGCTGGTGGTGCCTTCGCAGGAAGGGCTGCTTGCAAGCAAAGCGTCACTCGATATGGGCAGTGTTTGGGAGTACTGCTATTCCATGGGTCTGGTTGACCTGGTGGTATTGGCCTATGTCGGTGCAATGCAGCAGTGCATGATGACCCTGGCAAGAGTTGCATGGGCGCCTGTTCATCCAGGGCGTCTTCCCCAACCCATGTGTCGCAGGTGTTGTATGCTTGCTCACATTCCTGGGGATGGAAGGCTAGCGCAAGTAGCGTGGCTCTGCTAAGCTCAGCTGGGGCAATGGTGGCAAGGCGCCTGTGTATGCCAGGTGTAGCACTGTCCAGTGTGGTGAGCAGCGCAGTGGTGAATCCTGGCACTTGCTGTTGGAGCACCATCACATGCGCTACTAAGTGTTCTTCCATCATGATTGGATTTGGCTGGACGATGACGATTTCAACCTGATTGGCAGGCAAATAAAGGTCATTCCATGCTTGGAGGATGAGTCGCTTCCATGCTTGTGGATGGCGAGTGACAAACACTTCTCTTGGGGCAAAGCACTGTGGGTAGCGCTCATGATCCACATACCACGTCAAGATGGGTGCCATAGGACGGGCCTCTTTGGGTCTGATGGCAGCTAGGTGCTGCCATCGGTGCAGGGTGTCGGGTTGTCGTCCCAGTCTTGGTGTGGTGCAATGAGCGGCATCAGCTTCAACTGGGGGGACCTTGCATAGTGAGGAATGGCTGGGTTGTGTTACCTCTGGGTGAGGCTCTGACTGCATGTGCTTCATTGAAACCACCGTTCTGGAGGAAAGAGCTGTGGTGATTTGCTGCATGGCCATAGCAAGCTGTCGCAAGAACTCCAGGAGTTGCTCACAGCAAACAGCATGGCTGTTGCGGTCAGTAGCTGCATTGGGCATGTCAGGGGTTTGGTGTTCCTTTCCTGGCCAGGCATGGGGGATTTGCAGGAGAGCACTTCCTTCTTCCTCAAAGTCAAGTGAGTCAGTGACCACTTCGAAGGCAAAACCCGAGTGCACTGGGTAAGAGCTTCCATGAGGTATGTGTGTTGTGCCATGGTAGGCGCTAAGCCCAGGTGTGGCTGCAACCTGGTCTGGCGGAATGCCTGCATGGTCAAATAGTGCATCGCTAGTTACCGGGCTATGCAAGAAGAGGGCAAATCTCGATGGGTGCCACGGGTCTTCAAGCAGTTCAGTAACAGAGACTAGTGCTGCTGCCTGGTCAGGCGGTGCATTTTGGGTGACAATAACATGGGCAAAAACATCGGGCATTCCTCCAGGTGGATCAGGCTGCACTACATAAAGGTCAACAGGTTGGGATGGTTGCAAAAAATCAGCCCAACGCTGAAGGACCTCACTCGGCCACAGGGACGGGTTGGCAGACAACAGGACATCACGATAGTGGTCACTACGTGGCATCACTTGTGGCTGCAGGTACCAAGTGGCAATTTTGGCTTGACCAGGATCCGGTTGGCAACGGTCTTGTTGTGCACGGTTCGACAACCACTGCAGCATTGTATGGAAATCTGCAAGGTTTCTGACCTGAATGGTGGTCCATTGGACCGGCTGGTGTTGGCTGGTACCTGTGGGTGCAATCGGCTGGGAGATAGTGAACCATGAAGAACTGGTAGGCGCTGGTGGGATGCCCTGACCAGTGCCTGTTGTTGGTCTGGGAAACGCTTTGTACCTGGGCCGTTGCATCAACGCAGTTGCATCATCCATGATGTCTGCTTCATCCACTTCAGTGGTGTCGTTTGGCTCAACAAGCATGGGAACATCAGTGCTGGATTGTGCCTGTGTTTGGAGCCTATGGTCCCCCACATCGAGCAATAGGCTGATGCCAGAGGGCACTCTTTCAGTGTTGTGGTGGTGAAAACGGAACCTACCTGAGAACAGGTTGCATGGACGAAAATCACATTGAGGTTGCAGGCCATGGTCTTGAATGATGCGTTCTGGGCAGGTGTCCACTGGGGATGATTCTGCTTGCTGCATGAGGCCCATTCTGGTGCCTCCATGGAAGGCAACAGTGAGCAAAATGGCGGCTCTCTCTGGGGTCATCCCTTGTTCCAGTATGATGTGGATAACTGCTTGACGTCTCATTTGATATGGCGGTGTCGGCTTGACTATATGGACTCTGACCGGCTGGTGTCTGCGGAGTTGGTCAAACCAAGCATTGCATAGGTCTGCGTACCACAAATCACGTATGTCGTCCAATCTGATCAGGCGGGGGTGTCGGCATATGGGCATGTCGGCATGATGCACGTACCATACTTCCACGGGCAATTCAGGTCCGACTTCACGTCTGTGTGTGATGGCTTCCTCGAGGAAGATGATGTTCAACTCCATATGCCAAATGGGTCTTGGTGGTGGCACTGCAGGGTTAGCAGGTTGAGCTGGGACCCTCGCTTCAAAAGTGGGGGGTTCAGCTTCATGGTGATAGCCTGTGCGTGCTTGCACTGCCGGAGTGTGTGTGACTGGACTGTGCATTGGAACCACCATTGAGTCCAGCTTGGGTAAGTCGGGAGCAGAAGGCAACACATCAAGGCATCTTCGGTGCTCAGGTTCTTCTCGGTTGGGCTTGACCTTGAAGAACTGACCAATGGTTGTCTGCTTCTTGGCTTCAGATTGAACCTTCTGACCCTGTGGCGCTCTGAAGAAGCTTGTGATGGTGAGCTGCTTCGGGCACCGTGCAGTGCGTGGCTCTACAACTGGGTCACCTGTATGTTGTGGAGCATGAGTGGGTCTGTCATCATCCGTGGGCATTGCACCAATTGCCTCAGCGTGATTCGTTAACCTGAAGGTGGATGTTCTGCTTGGGTTGGCAGTGACCTTTCTCTGTTGCGGAGGCGTCGGCAATGACGGCTTCGATGTTGTACTCGTGCATGGCTCTGAACTTTCATCTGGTCGGGGCCCAGTCTGGGGTGGTGGATCATCGACAATCTGCGCAAGTGGATCATGTTTCCACTTTAGCTTGCGTTGTGGAAGATGATCGGCATCTGCAGGCAAACGTGTTTGAAAAGTGGCAACATTGCGATATTTCGCAGCCACTTGTGTAAGCTGAATGTCATCAGAGTCGGCATCATCTGTGTCAATTGCATTTTCGGTGTCATCATCAGCATTGGCTGGGTCAAAGAGGGCTGTTTGTGTGTCCTCATGCTCAACGGTTTGGTGAACAACCTCTACAGCCATTTGGGTGGGGAGGTCATGCGTGGGTGGTGGTGGCACTATGACTTGGGCATATGAACCATGATGCACAGGTCTCGGGCTGTGTTCATCTTCAGGCCACAAAACACCATCGAATGTGACAGCACATTGTGTGGTCACTAGGATGCAATAGTGATGCACGGCTGCAGCCAGCAAGATTTGCTGGTGCAAAATCTGATGACCAACGCGTTGAACTTCCCGCACCAGAGTGGGTCTGTGAGTCACTCCATTCGAGTCTGGATGGTGATGATAGACAATATCAACAAGCATGAGCCTATCCATGGTGTTGGGCGATAGGTCACCAGTACGTTGGACTACAGCCACCATGTCATATTCTGGCATCTGAAAAGGCGTGTGCGGCATGACATGGATAGCTTCTAGACAATCCAGTGGTATGTGCAGTGCATCTGCAATTTCTTGGGTCGGCAAGATGCGTTGGTCATTGAGGACTTGACAACACACTTCAACACCTTCAAGCTGGAAAAGATGAAGCATGGTGGTGAAACGTGCTGGCTGAGTGCTGGAGGCTGCCTGAGCATGTCTTCCGGGAGAATATGACGGACTGGTAGTGATGGCCTCTGACGAACTTGCATCATCTACATGTTTTGACCGGGAGAGGCGTTCCTGATCATGGACTACAATTTGAAACCCATCACCATGACCAACCTGGTGTGTTGGACGTAAAGTGTTGGGGATTTGAATCCATCTGTATGTGATGAGGCATTCGGCATGTCTACAATGTCTCCCTGCGTCAGCTGCTTGGACCAACTCATATCCACTGACAACTTCAGGCAATGAACAGGCCACCGAATACATCTGGAAGGTGTCGGCTCTACCTGGCAAGACAGTGACCATGGCAGCGACACGTGGCATGTTCAGAGACTGCGTGACAATCATGTCGTATACTACAAACGCATGTCGTGCAAGTCTCGGGGGATCAGGCTCTACAATGATCACATCGAACCAGTCATCGTTGTTGATTTGGTCTACCCACAAGGATTGAATTTGTGCTTCCCATCCCCTTGGAGGTCCAACCAATTGCAGAATGCGAGGTGCAGTCCATCTATGAATGGTGCGATGATCAATGTACCATGTGCGTACAGCAAGGTCAAAGTCATTGTCATGAGGATTGAGCCCTAGTCCTTCTAACCTGTTGGTTAAGTAGTTGACAAATGCCGGCAACACTGGGTGATCGTGCTCATCCATTTGTTCATCCTCAGTGTCATCTCCATCCTGCTGTGGTCCGACCAGATGTGCAATGGGGCTTTCATGTTCGCGCCTGACTGTGACAATGATTGGCTGGGTGCATTCAGCTTGTGCATCTACTGCAGTGTCAAACTGTTGGAGCTGTTTGGTTCTTCCTCTTCCCTTGGCGTGCTCATGGCGTATTGCTTTGCAGGTCACGATGGGGTGAGGGTCGAATCCTTGCAATGACCGCTGAATGTCATTAAGCACAGACATGTGAAAGGGACGGACAGCTGTTGACTTGGCACTTGGGTTGCAGGAAACCTGGGCACTGAATGCAAGCTGAACATCATGCTGGTGGATGGCTGGATCAAGTGTGTACATGGACGTGGGCGGCACTTCTGTACAAACGGAAGAATCTAACGGCCACGGCTGCATCTGTACATCGGGATTTGGCGGATGCATCGGCTGCTCATGGGACTGGTGACAGGCAGGCTTGCCCATCCGTTCAGGTGCATGTTGCCTGAGTGCCGGGTGCAGCCAGTTGCCTGGTACTATGGTCTTACGGGCCTGGCCATAGTCGGTTGATTCATCCTGTTTTGGCTGTGCGTCCATGGACCAAGGTTTCAACTCGGAAATCAAGGCATCAACATGGGTCCAAAAGTCCTGAAAAGCAAAGGAAGTATCTTCGCCTATCCTAATGCAAAGGACATCGGAAAATGTAACACCTTTCTTGGATGAGGCTTTCATGGGGGGATTGTCACCTGGGGATGCATCACCTGAACTATTGCATGACAAAATCGGGTGAAACTGAGTCGACATGGCATCTGCTGGTGACAATGGTTCGAACAAAACTGGGTGGCATTGGAGCGGCAAAATGCTCACTTCATATGCCAAGTGAAACGCTGCATCTTGTGCATGCCATTCAGAAGCAAAACTGCGTTCCTGTAGAACTGTGTGCGTCCATTTGGGGACTAAATGGTGAACATCTGTTGCATGGCAAAAAGGCCTTGGAGCAATAGAAACCGCATCTGTATTCACTCGGCCTAACCAAAACCCGATGCAGCACCAGGCAACTCGGATGGCTTTGCTGAGTCCAGCTGACCCGTGTCCAGGCGTGGTCTCTTGAGGGCTTTTTGTTCGTCCTCCACCATCTGCTCGGCTGAGGTTTGTAGCGCCTCGAGGCTGGACTGCAAATTGGTGAGGCCTTCTTGGATGCGATCGGCTGTGCAGCCTGCGATCTCCTTGTCCGGCTCTTCGTCGCTGATGGCCATGGTGTCCTCTTTGGCTTCGACTCCGGCCGTGGACTTGGCTTTGGCTAGGCTTTCCTTCGCTTGGTTCAAAGCTTCCATTGCCGTATTGACACGCTCGTTCATCTGCTTTTCTTGTTCCAGGAATTGTGCACTGTAGCCCTGCCACTGAGTGACAGCTTGGCTGAGAAATCCCCTCCAAGCGTTGTGAAGCTGAAAGCGTGCCAATTGGGCTTGTTGCAGCTCTTTGCGAGCTCGTCCATGGGCCGCGACCACCGCGTGGAGCTGCTTGGTCTGTTGCTGTCCTTCTTTGATTGCAGCTTCGTTCACCATGTTTTGGACTTCCGGTGGCAGTGTGTCGCTGTGCTTTTTCAAAACTGCCATAAGGCTCTTCAACTGTTTGTCCTCCGCATTTTGTTGCATCGGAGGTGGCATAGTCGCTGCAATGGAGGTCATCGATTGTAGCCAAGGTGGATCCACCTGGTTGGCAGGCAATGAAGGCGGGCCAATTCTGTCCTGGTCCACGCTTGCATGTTTGCCTTTGCCTTTTGCCCCTTTGGGTGTCTCTGCAGCTTTTTTGGTCGCTTTCTTTGATGGCCGTCTTCTCGACGAGGTACGCCTTCTTGGGGATGCTGTCCATTGAGATTGGTCGGCTTGTTGTGGATCCCATTGAGGATCTTCCCAATCTTGGTCGGTCCATTGATTTGCATAGCTCCATTGAACTGAGCGTTGCGATCTGCTCTGTCTCTGTGGTGGCTGGTAGGATGGGTCGGCACATAGATGCCATGAAATCCCACACACACCGCAGAACTGATGCGTTGCACTGCAAATCTTTTTGCATGTTTGGCATCGCCAGGGACCATCTGCATCTGTCATGATCTCTCTGTGGATTCGATTGAGGAAGGCTGTATCCTTGGAGTGGTGACCTTGGAGCTTGCTCACCAACTGTAAAAGTTTCCACTTGGGAAGGACTTGAATCCTCTTTTTGTGTAAGTGCCAGAGGAGCCTTGCGTTGGCTCGTCCACGTCGATGGGAACGCCGCTGAGAAGGCGTTGCCGTGGTCACTGCCAGCTTCACACAAAATTATCGGATGTCTTTGCACGTGGTTGGTCAGCAATGTGAAAACGATCTGAATTGCAGCAATGAAATGTAGCACAAAAATCATTCACGGTCAAACAGAGCCAGGCAGATTGTACGGGGAGCTCACCCCCAATGAAAAATGAACTCAAAAACCGCTGTACGGCCAGCGCAGAACCAGTGTACAGAGATGAAAGCACAAAAAAGGATTCCAGGAGTACCCAAGGAAAAATTGTTGTGATCACCCGCTGTATGGCCAGCGCAGAACCAGGGAATTGACCTTGTACCGTGTGCCAAACACCCAGGATTATGGAGCTGGGACTCCTGACCAAAAATCAGCGAAGAGCAGTGGCAGACAAAGACCTGCCTGTAGTGCAAGTTCCTGAAAAAAATTGGTTGTGGTACCAGTCCCTTGTAGCGCAGTCAGTAGAGTTAACTACAGTGAGTGCGAAACAAGGTGTAGCAGTCAAAAACCCGGTAAATGGCTAAGGACAAAAGGAAAGTCCCGTGGGTAGAAGCGGCACGTTACCCACTAGGTTGACGGTTCGTGGGGAGTCTTGAACCGAAATCCCTGGTTTCAACCCCTCTGAAAAATATGAAAGTCGGTTGGGATGATGACATTCCCAACTGAATGGAAAGTCATAATCCAGCCATGTTCCAAACCACCAACCAGTTTGTATTGTGATCACTCCCAAGGTCTCCCAAGCTATCATCAGCCAACCAACCATCATAATGTCCAAATTTCAGTGGCTTAAACCCAATATGTCAGTGGCTTTTGCGAACCATGAATGATCACCGCAACTCGCGACTTCTTTATTTAGGTTTGTCCGAAAATAGTCTTCCCTATATTCCAAAGGATTATAGCCTCATTTTCCCTATTAATTAATGGGTATTTGTGGGTATCACCACCATTTTCACCCAAACCCAAATATCATATTTAATAAATAGTGTTGGTTAGTTATATATACCAGTAATTCCCATTATATATATAGATACCCCTACAATTGTACCATTTACATTAGTTGCTTATGTCCTATATTATATACCTATATATATACTGGTTGGTGGTTTCAACCTCTCTGAAAAATCTGAGTTCGTCAGTTGGGATGATGAAATTCCCGGAAAGTCATGCAAAATTCCATGGTTCCAAACCACCAATATATTCTGTTGATATCACTGTCCCAGCGGCCATGTTCACGCCCTCGTCCACAATGACGCAGGTCCTGCCGTTGCTTCGTTCGATGTCTTCGATGTCGCCCTTGATCCTGGGCCGCGAGGCGATACGGCCCACAACGGACGGCGCCATTGGGTGATGTTGGGTGTATTAAAAATTGACATGTTGGAAAATTGAAAACTATTTTATTGGAAAAGGGACGTGTTGCTAGTTTAAATTGAGTCGTTTGGTATAGAATTTATCAAAAAAACAAACATAACATTCAATAAGCGTCTAATGATCCTTGCAGAAAAATCATTGTAGAAAATCAAAAAATGGGAAGGTAGGTACGAAATTGCAGGTTGAATCTATCCAGCTGTTTTTATAACGCGTATGTTGGGCAAACACAACTACTATAAACGCATAGAAAAACGTTGTCATTACCAAGGGAAGAGCCATGGGTTTCCTGGAGCTTCCAGCCACACAGAAAGAGAAACTACCTCAAAACCACTCCTGCCCGAAACGTCACGATCAACAAAGATTCAAAGACCCCTTGCAACTTACCTGAAAGTGAGGTTGCAGTCACCACTTCTGAGCTGTGTCAAGAACCTTTTGGAAAGTTCATGTGTTTTATCGTGTTTTTTCTGAGTAATGGGTATTCCCAGCTGGCAGAATGAGAATCCCCAAGGGATATCAAGGGTAGTACAAGCCCCAAGTTATGATCAACCAACATGTTTCGGTTGTACTAACTAATGACTCATTATATCCATTGGTTTCAGTGGCTCAAACACATATTTCATGCTCAATCACCCACACTTTGTCATCAACCAATCGTCATTTGGGACTCGATGTCCTCAGTTTCATGGAACTGTCCCAATAACGCCCCCATTCTGAATGATGGTTCAATCCCAGTTGTCTAGATGAAACCATCATTCAGAATGGGGATTTCATCTAAATGAACTCTAGATGATTTTTGTTCCAGTTCAGAGGACTCTAGATGATGTTCAACCCCCTTCTTTTTGGCTCATCTTAGTTCTCCGGATCCCAACGATTTCACCAAGACTCTCGTGCAGCGTCACACGGTCCGGGGCGTTGATGGAGTACCAGACGCACAATTGGCCTGGTGACATATTCAGCTTCGCGAAGTCCAGATGCACCACGGAACAAAATGGGAATGATCCAAAAAAAGGAAAAACAAACATAGGCATATATATATATACATATTCTTATATATTTATCTAATTGCAGATAAACATGGAATTTATAAACCGGAAACCAGCTGGAAAGTTCCATCCTAAAGCCTGAATTATGACAAGAATGCTACTCATGGGTGAAAGTCACCTAGACTCATGGTGCTATGTCTAGCAACGGATTGGTTTAAGATGGTTTAAGGCAGTTTAAGGGAAAATCTACAGGAAAACATCGATTTTCCTATTAAATATGGGGTTTTCCTGTAAATTTGAGTCTATAGAAACCAACTCTTGCTGAAAGAATGTTTCTTGGTGCTGCAAGATGTTATCCATACTCTTCATATCTCTTCATGTTCGGGCCCAGTGAACATGTCAATGGAAAATCGTGAAGACCACGTGGCGTTCTTCAAGCCTGAAACAGTCGTCCTCCTCGAGCTGATATATCACAGATCTTGTGAGAACCCAACAAAAACATATCAAAAACCGCCATACAAAAACCTCACAAGATCTGTGATGATGGTAAATCCCTATGTTCAACCTGAGGTGAATCATGGTGAATCCCTATCTTACCATGATAAATCCATGGTAAATCCATGGTTCCCAGATTTTTTGAGGCGCCTCGATTCTGCGCCACCACCACATCGCTATCAGGCACCCACTGCACATAGTTGCAGTAGTTCAACAGGGTCACCTGGCTGGTCACTGGGCTCCCTCCAAAACATGGCTGGCTGCTTTTCTATGTGGCAGGGGAATACTGGAGATGTACAGGTTTTAACAACCGAAAACACTGGAAATATAGCCAGTACCAATGTATGTCTAAACAAAAATGGTTCCCGCGAATGGTTGCCTCACACATCCCAGGGCAACGCAGGTTTCTTTTGCTTCGATACCCACTGGGGAACGAGTCATCCTAACGACAGCTCTCAGAACTGACAGAGACACTCCCACCCCGGAAGCTCTCAAGACTCGATGGCAAGGTCACCCGCTCCAGGCTTAGGTTGAAGTCAGAGCCAAAACTCAAGCTTTGAAGACTCGATGGCAAAGTCACCCGCTCCAGGCTTTGGTTGAACGACTTGCCAAAACTCAAGCTTTGAAGACTCGATGGCAAAGTCACCCGCTCCAGGCTTTGGTTGAAGTCAGAGCCAAAATTCAAGCTTTGAAGACTCGATGGCAAGGTCACCCGGTCCAGGCTTTGGTTGAACAATTCGCCAAAACTCAAGCTTTGAAGATTCGATGGCAAGGTCACCCGCTCCAGGCTTTGATTAAAATACATGCCAAATGTCAAGCTTTGAAGACTCGATGGCAAGCTCACCCGCTCTAGGCTTTGGTTGAACTCATTGCCAAATGTCAAGCTTTGAAGATTCGGTGGCAAGGTCACCCGCTCCAGGCTTTGGTTGAACATGTGGCCAAAACTCAAGCTGTGAAGATTCGATGGCAAGGTCACCCTCTCCAGGCTTTGGTTGAAGCAGAAACCAAAACTCAAGCTTTGAAGACTCGATGGCAAGGTCACCCGCTCCAGGCTTTGGTTGAAATTCGAGTACATGCCAAAACTCAAGCTTTGAAGACTCGATGGCAAGGTCACCCGCTCTAGGCTTTGGTTGAACTCATTGACAAATGTCAAGCTTTGAAGACTCGATGGCAAGCTCACCCGCTCCAGGCTTTGATTAAAATACATGCCAAATGTCAAGCTTTGAAGACTCGATGGCAAGCTCACCCGCTCTAGGCTTTGGTTGAACTCATTGCCAAATGTCAAGCTTTGAAGATTCGGTGGCAAGGTCGCCCGCTCCAGGCTTTGGTTGAAACAGAAACCAAAACTCAAGCTTTGAAGACTTGATGGCAAGGTCACCCGGTCCAGGCTTTGGTTGAACAACTCGCCAAAACTCAAGCTTTGAAGATTCGATGGCAAGGTCACCCGCTCCAGGCTTTGGTTGAAACAGAAACCAAAACTCAAGCTTTGAAGACTCGATGGCAAGGTCACCCGGTCCAGGCTTTGGTTAAACAACTCGCCAAAACACAAGCTTTGAAGACTCAATGGCAAGGTCACCCGCTCCAGGCTATGGTTGAAAGTCGAGTAAATGCCAAAACTCAAGCTTTGAAGACTCGATGGCAAGCTCACCCGCTCCAGGCTTCGGTTGAACACATTGCCAAATGTCAAGCTCTGAAGACTCGATGGCAAGCTCACCCGCTCCAGGCTTCGGTTGAACACATTGCCAAATGTCAAGCTCTGAAGACTCGATGGCAAGCTCACCCGCTCCAGGCTTCGGTTGAACACATTGCCAAATGTCAAGCTCTGAAGACTCGATGGCAAGCTCACCCGCTCCAGGCTTCGGTTGAACACATTGCCAAATGTCAAGCTCTGAAGACTCGATGGCAAGCTCACCCGCTCCAGGCTTCGGGTTGAACTTTGAAGACGATTGCCTTTGGTTGAAACTTGCCAAAACTCAAGCTTTGAAGACTCGATGGCAAGGTCACCCGCTCCAGGCTTTGGTTGAAGTCAGAGCCAAAATTCAAGCTTTGAAGACTCGATGGCAAGCTCACCCGCTGTAGGCTTCGATTGAAGCTCTCTCCAAAAGTCAGACTTGTGAGGCTGCAGGGGAGATTGTGTAAAGATTCGCCCTGCGTTGCTCCTTCAAGTTTTGTAACACCTTCTAGTGCAAACTCTCTCTCACAACTTTCGAGATGACGGGCATAACGCCATGCTGTGTACAGATTAGTTGGCATGTAGGTGCAGGACAGCACTATGCATCTTCCAACAATCCCTTGCTCTCCCAAGGTTCTATCAAGCGTCAGCTTTGCATTCATGTGATGCACGACCATTCTTGCGCCCTGCTTGCGTGGAAGCTTCTCTGACACCAACCTGCGCAGGTCAGACCCGAACATGGAGCGACTGACGCTCAATGTCACTCCTTCTCCAGTCAAGCACCTAACTTCAAGCTCGACCTCATCAGTTTCATCTGCTGCATCTTTGTCAGTAGATGATGGATCCAGATTGCCATCACGTGCGCGTTTCCCGCCTTTGTCGGTGGGTGATGGGTCTGGGTGGCGGTCTCGTGCACGCTTCATTCGTTGAAAGAATGCACACTCACCACGGCGAGTGCAGGCAAAAGGTCATAACGAAAGGAAACATAGAGCTCTACACTTTGAGCCATTTCCAAGCGACACAAAATCATTCTGATGACGACATTTTCGAGGGCTTCACCGGGTTTCAGCCTCGGGTGGAATCCATTTTGGGCCTCCCTTCGTCGCAAATTGTGAAGCTTCGTAGTTGGCTGCGTCCATCGGGAAATTCGAAATCCACTGATTCGCTGTAGATAGAAAATGATTCATTGCTCTTAAAATGACTCTAAAGTGGGGTACAAATATCTAAGTATAATATGTTTATCAACTATTATCAAATGTTTGGATATATGTTTTGGCCAAATCCTCCACATTGCAAAGTCGGGAAGTTTGACTCAACTTCCGCACACTTCCGTCCGACTTCGCACCCGTTGCTGCTGTTCGATGTCGTAAAGGTACAGCTGCCTCCGCTTGTCCCGGAAAATCAAGCCTCGGCAGGGCATTGACCTGATGGGTTTGGCCGGAAAGTGAAGGGAAATTGAAGAAATTGAACTGAAAATGTGGTCATCTGGTTTTTCTATATGAAATGATTGAATGGATTTGCATTAAGCTGACTAAAGGTCAACATATGGAGGGGTCGGAAAAAATGGGGAGCCCAAACACAAGTGGTTCCCCCTGAAAACAATAAACTTTGGATGATCAGAGGGTCCAACATTTGAGAACCCTCTAACATCAAAGCTTCTTTGGAGTTTTCTTGAAACATAAATAGATCCGGGCTTTGTTTCTAAAGTCATTGTTGGGCGGTTCAGTTCAGCCCAGGTTCAATGACTCAAGGTTGACCATCTCCGATCCCGAAAGTGGGGGAGAGAACAAATGCCAGAGGGGAATCTGAAAGAAAATGGGTATACTAAATGGAAAAAAATAATCGGATGTGACCAATCAGACTCGGAAAGAATGATCTTGAATCTTAACAATCAAACTCGGTAGAAAACAGCAAAGAATGTGGGTGATATGTAACACGTAAATGTGCATGGCATGACAGTTGTGGGTGGGTGACCAATATCAACCAAGCACCAACAACGGTCAGAAGCTAACGAAAAGCCGCAGGCATTGGGGACTGACCATGGCGTTCTTGACCATTGTCATTGTGGTTAAACAATAGTGGAACGTGGGTATAGGACAGTAGGAAAAGGAGAGATGGGGGAACGCCAGGTACCTCCTGGCTCTTTATCCAAGTGGGGGATGGTGGCTCTGGAAGATGCAGGTCATACATCAACCTAACCCCAAAACCCTCCAAAATAGAGAATAATCAGTTGGAAACCTACCCTCTGGTAATTTAACATAGCTATTGAAAATCACCATTTTCAATGGGTAAATCCACTATTTCAATGGCCATTTTCAATAGCTATTTTGACATAACCAGAGGGTAACATCATCTAAGCCGCTCTTCGGCATCCTCTTGGGGAGCCCATCAAAATTCATCGGAGATGACGCTTCGAACTAAAGAACTGGTCGCATCCCAAAGGGCCAATTTCGTACCCAGAAACCATGCAAAAGTCGTTGCCTATCCTGGTGAGTTCCCAAAAATCCCAACGAAAAACCTGGCTTCGTCGATCCGATGATTCAGAACAGAGGACCACCCCAGTTGGAAGTTGGAGTATAAAACCCATCCTGCAGGTACCCTCTGGTTATGTCAAAATAGCTATTGAAAATGGCCATTGAAATAGTGGATTTACCTATTGAAAATGGTGGATCTTTCAATAGCTATTTTGACATAACCAGAGGGTAGCAATCCTCCATCCCCTCTGGCAATCACCAGGTGGCTTTGTTGAAAACCCTAGTTTCTTCATGGGCTTTGTTCATGGGAAAACCCATCGAACCATGGGGGATTCTCCAGCTACCAACTCGCCGTTGTTGCCACGCGGGTGGTAGTAGATGACATTGGACGTGGGCACCGCGCACGGCAAGCTGATACTGAAAAACTTACCATCGACCACAACAATTCCAGAGTCTGAATTGCTGAAAATTTCTGAAATCCTTCGACCTCAGCATTCAGATCCAAATTTAAAGCTGGTGAAATATATCAATATATCCCATAAAAAATATCACCAGTATACTAAGTATACCCCTTAGAAATTTAGCATAGCTATTGAAGATGATCCATTTCCTTCGATGCCTTACCCGCAGCGCCTTCCCAACAACCCACGCTTCAACGTCGCCCAGATGCGGTTGGCGCCATTGGGGTTGAGCTCCTGCGTTTCAGGGCGATCGAAGGGAAAAATTGGGGAATGAAAAATATGGGTGTGTTTCAAAATATGTTTTCTGGTTGGTGGTATACCTACCCCTCTGAAAGATATGAAAGTCAGTTGGGATGATTCTTCCCAATATATGGAAAAATAAAAAATGTGTCAAACCACCAGTAAGTTTTGTATGGGTATGTGTTGTATAAAAAGGTCTAAAAATACACTCATCTCGAAGTAGGTAGAATATGGACATTTACCATGGCGACAGGAAAGTGGCCATATTGGTGGGGATAAAGCTGTAACAATACCATCATGATACTGGTATAGATCAAAACCTTGGAAGCAATTTTGAAAACACGCCAAAAGAGTGAACAGATTTGTGGACCTTCAGAAAGCCCAATATTAAGTGTATATTAGGTTTTGATCCATACCCATACATACATGTCTACATATGTATATATATATGTGTGTGTCTAATGTATGTAATATATATATATATATACTGTATATGGTGGTAATCATCTTGAGGTAGATACTGTAGAAGATGAGGAAAAAATGGCAAAAAGCCATCAGTAAAATGGAAACATGTTTGAAAATGCCATGTTATGTCTACTTCATGAAGATGACTATAGTAGAATCGGTGTGAACCCCTTGCACATGATAGAATCCGTGTTCAATCTTTTCTGGGGCAACACTTGCACAATGCTCTTTTTTAATTGGTAACTGGTGGGTGTATAGTTTATAGGGGTTCCCACGATCGGTCAGGAAAACTCTGTACCCAGGTAGCATAATCCCCGCAATGATCTAGCTCGCTTTCCTCATCGCTTGATTTGCTGCTTACATGTTATATACCCGCAATGGTAATTTAAGAGTTAGCTAGTGAAAATGGTCATTGAAATAGTTGATTTACCTATTAGACATGGAAAAATCTTCCATCGCTTTTTGTATGTTTTTTGGTATGTTTACCAGAGGGTACATGTGTCTGGGTAAATTATAATATTTCACTAACCTGAATCTTGCGGCCATTTGGGGATGATTTCCCTAAAATAAACCATGATTCCCAGGGTTCGGTCGCAATGAGGTCGTTATAATTTACCTGGAATTTTATATATACCCACTAATGATCAATAATATAGCATAATATAGCCAATTGTTCATCATTCTTCCATAATATGTCCAATAATATATCCAGGGTACATGTGGATATGGGTCAAAATTAGGTACCCCAAAATTATGGATGGTCAATACTAAACTAGACTAACATCTGTGGTCCCCTAGGTCTTCCATTTTGACCCATACCCATATGTCCAGGGTACATGTGTCTATCATTTCTCGGCGGGATTTTTCTCTGGGCCCCGCACCAGCCAATCGATCCGGGTGTCGTGGCTGATCGTGGCTAAGGTGGCGTTCGACACCTGGAGACGTGGCGCTAAAAAGGGTGAGTTCACCATCCAAAACCCAGGGGGGTTACCATAAAACATTTGGATCTCTTGGAAATATATATATATATATGACATATATATATATATATAATGATGTGTATATATATATATATGTGTGTGTGACATATATATATATATATATAAATGACGTGTATATATATATATATGGTTTAAACAAATCAATGGGATATGTTTCACCAACCTGACCATGATTTTTAGGTGTGTCTGAAAATGGTCTGCCCCAAAAAAAATGCTATGTTACAGTGAGACAGTAAGAAGAGAAATGATTATCAACCATCAAATTTGGGTGGTACCCTATTTTGAGACCAACCCGTATATGTGTATATATATATATAGGGGGAATCATCCCCAATTCATGGCATTAAATCTTGAGATTTATGAGATGAATGATCCAGATAGTCAAAAAATGTTTTAAAAAAGTTGCAATCCCAATTCCCCCAATCTTTAGGGGATCACCCCTAGGCTTTTGATCATTGGGAAGTTGCTGATGTTTTTGTGGGGTGCAGTTCCACTAGTACGTGGTGATATGGCACCATAGTTGTAGGGCTTATATCACTTATATATCCTATACTTATAGTTGTGATACCATAGTTGTGATACTATACTTATATCACTTATATCACTTATATATCACTTATAGTTGTGATACCATAGTTATATCCCAACTTCTGGAGGTTACTACTGCACCTCCATGTACTGTGTTGAGCTCCCAGCTTGGGTCAGGAACTGGGTGGCTTTTTGTGGGCTCCATTGACCGAAAAATGATACAGAATCGCCCAAGAATTGAGGGTACCCTACCCGGGAATCGGGGACAAATCCAGGTTGGGGCCAGTGGGGCCAGTGGGGCAATCATCCCTCTATGAATCAACCAATCAGTAGGAAAAGGACATCTATCAACCAAACATTGCCATGGAAAATCCCCCATGGCTGGTTTGATGATCTTCACATGAAAATCTCTCTCTCTCTCTGGGGATGTTCTCATTGAAATCTCCATTGAGTTCAAAAAATTCCATCGAAAAAGGCCTGCGACTTGGAATTGACCAAGATCTGATGGGGCCTACCCGCTACCCCTAAACATGACAAATCTGTTCTACCCTAGCTTGAGATGTTTAGCTAACCAATCTGACTAGCATATGATGTGAGCATCCGGACCAGATCGCAAACGCGGATGGTCATCAGGTCCAACAGATAGGCGATCACCTTCCGTGCCACGGCCGCTTCGAAGAGGACCAGGCACTGTTGGGGGGAAAAAAAAGTGGGATCGCAAGCTTCAAAAGTTGGATGTCCAACCATGAGAATTTGGATGTCAACCATCGGAAATTGGAGTTCAACCATCAGAAATGGGAGTTGAACAGTTCAACCATGACAAGTTGAACAGTTCAACCATGACAAGTTGGATGTCAACCAGCAAAATTTGATGTCAACAATCAGAAATTGGACTTCAACCGCCAATTTTCGCTAGTTCATGGGGATAGCTTGCTGATTGATGGAAACTGAAATGGGATGTTAACCCAAGCTTGGAAGCAGCAAAAAATGGATCTAAGGAAGAACCGTGGAATTGTAAGCAACAAAAATATACAAAAATGGGTTCATGATCCCTAGTTTGGAAGATCATTCTAGTTGGTGACCGCTTGACGGTTGACTACCCCATCCCAAAACCATGGTCATTTGAGATTCTCATCCCGACAGGGCAAAGTAAAATGTTGGAAACCCCAACCACTGCTGGATGATGAGTTGAGATTTTTTAGAAGTACACATAGTTTTACTGTATTGGCCCATTCAGAAACCAGCAACATCTGACCAAAGTCGGCAATTCAACAAATCCATTCCACTCCCCAAAATTCAACAGCATGGACCCAACAAAAATTGGATTGTCCCAGCATAAGTTGTCGAACGTCACCTTCAGTTCTCCCATGGTCGGAGCGTAGACGTCACCCTCTTCCGGGGTGTTGATGCGAACACCTCGTGGCGCCAGGGCCGGAGCGGTGTGGCTTGGTGGGTGACACGGGGCATGGGATAGCCTCACAGATCAGGCTTAATTGTTACTAGTAGTGACTGATTCTAATAGTCGATATAGATCCGATATAGATCGATATAGTCATTTGGGATCCTTTGTATCAGGGGCTGCTATGGCAGCTTTCAATGATGGTTTGATCATTGTTGATTATTGGGAACAGTTCCAAGTTCCATCTATTATGTCCATATCATTATATCTATATATATATATACAGAAGTATGTACCTCTGGTCTGGCAACTTATAGCTTTCAAAAACCCAATTACCCTCTGGTAATTTAACAGTTTGCTATTGAACATAGCCATTTATCGTTGATTTACCCATTAAAAATTGTGATTTTCCATAGTTATGTTAGTTTACCAGAGGGTAATATAAAATAATAACAATATTTGTTTTGACCCCGCCCTGCGTGCTGCTGCCATGGAACTGAATGGGCCATGCGCAAAGTCCCATTTAATCCCATATATTCCGATTTGATTCACCCAGTATATTCCGAATAAAAAATTGCATGAAAAACCCATTATATCCCATTATATCCAATTAGATCATGAATGTCAAATAATATCCCTCTGATCAACAACTAGTTGCTAGTTCATATCCATTTATTCCATTCTATCTCATTTAAATATCCCATGTTAATCCCATTCATATTCCATATAAGTCCCATGAAAATCCCATTGAAATCCCATGGCATCCAGGAGTCCCCGCTGATGAGGTGCGGAGACATGAACTCCGTCCGCGCCTCAGGGATGGTTCTGTTTCACCAGAAACCACGGGGAAAAAAACAGCAAAAAATAGGGGAATTCTCAACGAACTGATTCTTTTTTTCAACAGAAATGGGGGATGTTCACCAAAGATTTTTTGGGTTGTGGGCTTTTACTGGGATGAAAAAATCCTATACTTTACCATGTAAACATCCAAACTGGGAATTTTGTCCAAGGAAAAACGGGGAAATTTAACTGAGTTCGTCCCACACATCGATGTGTGCTGGTCAGGTTGGAATTCCAAATTTGCCCAACTGGTTGTGATATGTTGTGATCAATAAAAGACTTGGGCAAATTTGGATTCCAACCTGACCTTGACATAGTTTTTTTCCAACATTTTCAGAGCCAGACAAATTGAGGCCATGAAACTGAAGCAGGGCCTCCATGAAACTGGACCAAAATGGCGGTTTCGGAAACTCTCGAAACTTATGATCCAAGTCTTCAGTCATTTTACGTCCAGGAAAACTAATGCTTTGGGAAACATTTTGATAAAGACCCACTGTCAATTCTAAACCTAAGAATCCAATTCCGCTGTGATGCCCTTTGCGTATCCAATTCCACACCCAGTCTGAGGGCCCCTTACGCAGGCCAAAAGCTCATTGCAGCCGTACTCCACCACAGATAATTCACCGGCCTTGAAAGTCATGACGGCTATCATTTGTCAAAACCTGGACTAGCAACAAAAAACCTGGTTGATTTCAGTCTGGGTCCGTTTCACAGCAGATTGTCGCGTTTTGGGGGGTGCTCTCAGAGTATCCATTTATCCCATTCGTTGCCTCAAGTGGACAACATATCTTGGACAGATTTTTCCCACAACTCGTGGCAACTCGGAGGTCAACAAGGTGTGACCACCAGTTGTTCTTGAAAGTGTGCCGCATAGGCAGAGTCGCATCTACCAAAATCAGCCCTGCAATGTCGTAAATTCATGCTGCGCCCTCTATTGGATGTTAAACGTCCAATCTGAATGCATGTGACTGTCACATATGCTCAAGCCAAGGTAACGCAACAACACACGAGCCATGGGAAAATGCCTCATTTTACCATCCCACTAGAAACGCGTTGATTAGTAACTAAGTAGGTATCCCTATTGTGGTTTCTAATCTTGCAATTAATTACCAAACTATAAAAAAGGAAGTATAATCCACTATAACTCAACTCCTCACCAAGGTATCTTATCGTTTGCTCACATCTTCTCCACCTTAAAGATCATGCAGACTGTGGGGTTGTCAAAGAAGAACTTTTCGTTGCCTGCGGCTTGATGACTTCAACCCATCCCCACTTGCTGCGTCCCCGGTTGAAATATCAGCGCACATGGTTGATAAGCCAATGAAAAAAATGGGGATAAAAGACACGGGCCATTAATCTAACTAGGCAACTAGGCTATAAAATGCTATAAATAGACTACTATACATATAGTATTATGTATATATATATGTTATAATATATATATATAATATATAAATAATAATAATAATATATTATATGATATATATATATAATATATATATAATATAATATAATATAATATAATATAATATAATATAATATATATAATATAAAATATAATATATATATATATATATATAATAATAATAATATATATATATAATATATAATATATATAATATATATAATATATATAATATATATAATATATAATATATATAATATATATAATATATATAATATATATAATATATAATATATATAATATACTATATATAATAGATTATAATAGCAACATGTTATAACTAGTTATAACATTTCCCCCTGAATCGATGCTTGGGTCCCGCAGCCCCATCCAAGATCTATCAGCTGACCCGCACGGATGATCATCCGCTTCCGGGGTCTGAAAAAATGTCGACCCACACCTGTTGTAGCCACGAAATGGCAACATGTTAATCATGAAAATTAGGATTTGACATGTTGAACCACGATTTCGGAGTTCTCCCATTGGACAAACTATGCCAAAATCATGTGTAAAATCATCCCATCCAATATGAAGCACACCCATTCCATGGTCCCAAATTTTTGGTGCAGATCAAATCCCTGACATCCACCATGGTTTCGGCATCCCGGACCCCCGGAATGCCACGGAATCTCGGAAAGGCGGCCTGGCTGATGTCGGCGAGCTGGGTAGAGAATCCCATACCAAAAGACTATATAAAGGATTAGTTAAACTACCCATCTAAGATTGCTGTCTGATGATGTTCTTCATGGTTTTTTGCAGGTTTTTTTTGCAAAGTTTGATGAAAAAAGTTCCGCATGTCATCAAGCATGGTATTTCCATCAGCAAAAGTCATGGTTCCTAGAAACAACGAGGAGATTGTGACCCACAAAAATCACTAGTGATTGGTCACTAGCCTGGAAGATAATTTAGTATGCTGCAAATCCAGGCATCTTTTTCTCCTGCCATCGTCGCGTCACACACTGCGATCGCAATCTATGATCACTATGTTCAACATACCTCTTGGGGCCAGCTTCACGTCGTAAGAGGCCTCATCAATTCGATGTCAATGCATTGATGCTGTTGATGCTGCTGATGCTGCTGATGCTGTTGATGCCATGCAGTTCGACCTCAAAGAAAAGGTCCGAATTCGGAGGAATGGGACCTGTGCCTGCCTCGCCATAAGCCAAAGCAGCTGGCACTCGCATGACAGCTCGCTCTCCAAGGCTCATATGGCTCAAGCCCACTTCCCAGCCACGGATCACTTGAGAAGCACCAAGTTGAAAGCTAAAGAGGTCGCCATTCTTCGTCGAATCGAAAAGCTGACCATTTGGCAGGTAGCCTGCATACTCCACAAAGAGCTTGTCGCCATCTTTGGGGAAGGTCCTGCCATCCCCAGCCTTCACTTGCTTCAGCATTAAGCCACTTTCAAGAAGCATAGCAGGGACATTTGATGACAACATCTTGGGAAGCAAATTTGTCTGGTTCCCCAAGTTGCTCTCCTGCGTCTCCTTCCCTGAACTAAGCGATTTTGAGGAAGTGGGCGTTTCCATGAGGCTCTCGAGGGTGTCTTCATCAAGACCACCATGCTGCACTTTCTGGAGAATCTCTGGGCTCAAAATCCGTTGCAAAGCTTCTGGGCTTTTCACCAACTCTGCAAGCTTTGGATTCACTGCCATCATCTGCTGCACCATGGCATTCTCTTGCACAACCTTGGTCAAGAGCGCCTTGTCTGCGGTGATGTTCTGAATCTGCTTCTGAATCGTCTGGTTCTCCAAGTCTTGCTTCAAACCAGGGTCCACGTAAGCTCCTTCAAGATCTTCCCCAACAGATTGCAGCATGTTCTGCAAAGCCTCTGCGTCGATGTGCTTGTTGGACCCCAGCTTCTGAAAGATGCTGCTCCATGCTCCCATGCCAGGCATCTTTTTGTTTCCATGGATGACATCATCCAAGCTGAAGCTTTCTTGTTGCTCAGGATCAAGAACCCTCTTCTCTCGATGTGCAACCGAGATGCCGGATGGCACTTGCACCACAGCGGCACTGGCACCAAGGAGGATCACAGCCGCCAGGAACATCATCGTGCTCGCAAGGCAATCTGGCTTGGCACAATGGCACCAGAGAAATTGGATGTTGGTTGCTCTTGAACCCAAAAGTCCGGATCAATCGCTGAATCACAAGCATTCAAAAGCCTTCATGACAGCATCTCTAATCAGGCAACTTGATCATAGGTGCACTCTGGATTGGTCAGAGAAGCTTTCAAAGGAGACCGAGGATAAAAGTGACGGATCAAAAAAACCAAACATGGAATCATTATATGTAGCTAATTAATTTTAGGGTTAAGCATGGAATGCCAAACAAAAGCAAAAAACGGAACTGACATGTTGTGATGTGGGTTGTTTTCTGCATGAATATCTCATGCTGAGCCAGCGCATCTTTTTCTCCTGCCATCGTCGCGTCACACACTGCGATCGCAATCTATGATCACTATGTTCAACATACCTCTTGGGGCCAGCTTCACGTCGTAAGAGGCCTCATCAATTCGATGTCAATGCATTGATGCTGTTGATGCTGCTGATGCTGCTGATGCTGTTGATGCCATGCAGTTCGACCTCAAAGAAAAGGTCCGAATTCGGAGGAATGGGACCTGTGCCTGCCTCGCCATAAGCCAAAGCAGCTGGCACTCGCATGACAGCTCGCTCTCCAAGGCTCATATGGCTCAAGCCCACTTCCCAGCCACGGATCACCTGAGAGGCACCAAGTTGAAAGCTAAAGAGGTCGCCATTCTTCGTCGAATCAAAAAGCTTACCATTTGGCAGGTAGCCTGCATACTCCACAAAGAGCTTATCGCCATCTTTGGGAAAGGTCCTGCCATCCCCAGCCTTCACTTGCTTCAGCATTAAGCCACTTTCAAGAAGCATAGCAGGGACATTTGATGACAACATCTTGGGAAGCAAATTTGTCTGGTTCCCCAAGTTGCTCTCCTGCGTCTCCTTCCCTGAACTAAGCGATTTTGAGGAAGTGGGCGTTTCCATGAGGCTCTCGAGGGTGTCTTCATCAAGACCACCATGCTGCACTTTCTGGAGAATCTCTGGGCTCAAAATCCGTTGCAAAGCTTCTGGGCTTTTCACCAACTCTGCAAGCTTTGGATTCACTGCCATCATCTGCTGCACCATGGCATTCTCTTGCACAACCTTGGTCAAGAGCGCCTTGTCTGCGGTGATGTTCTGAATCTGCTTCTGAATCGTCTGGTTCTCCAAGTCTTGCTTCAAACCAGGGTCCACGTAAGCTCCTTCAAGATCTTCCCCAACAGATTGCAGCATGTTCTGCAAAGCCTCTGCGTCGATGTGCTTGTTGGACCCCAGCTTCTGAAAGATGCTGCTCCATGCTCCCATGCCAGGCATCTTTTTGTTTCCATGGATGACATCATCCAAGCTGAAGCTTTCTTGTTGCTCAGGATCAAGAACCCTCTTCTCTCGATGTGCAACCGAGATGCCGGATGGCACTTGCACCACAGCGGCACTGGCACCAAGGAGGATCACAGCCGCCAGGAACATCATCGTGCTCGCAAGGCAATCTGGCTTGGCACAATGGCACCAGAGAAATTGGATGTTGGTTGCTCTTGAAGCCAAAAGTCCGGGTCAATGGCTGAATCACAAGCATTCAAAAGCCTTCATGACAGCATCTCTAATCAGGCAACTTGATCATAGGTGCACACTGGATTGGTCAGAGAGGCTTTCAAAGGAGACCGAGGATAAAAGTTACGGATCAAAAAACCAAACATGGAATCATATATATCCGCCGACCCCTGCCTAGCCTTGGCCTAGGCGGGGCGGCGCCCGGGATCACCGTAGGTGTGCAGCATGGCTCGTACCGGCTTTACCATTGCCATGGCAACCCTCCGCTTGCTTTGCCATCGTACCTCCCCATAGGCCCTACAAACTGTTTCTATTGGGCTTCGAAACTGCTACATGGCACGTTTTGGCCAGGCCTTAAAACCCTCAAAAGCCCCGCAGCAGCTTTCGAAAGCCTCAGCACCGCACAACCCTCCGCTTGCTTTGCCATCGTACCTCCCCATAAGCCCTTCAAACTGTTTCTATTGGGCTTCGAAACTGCTACATGGCACGTTTTGGCCAGGCCTTAAAACCTTCAAATGTCCCGCAGCAGCTTTCGACAGCCTCAGCACCGCACAACCCTCGGCT